CCCACGGGAAGTCCCATGTCTCTCGGCTTTCCCACGTTGACGTGAAGAAGAAAGAAGAAAGACGCAGGTCCGCCGGGAAAATCTGCGACTGCCGTGCTGTCACACCTACTTTCTGCTTGCTTTGCCGCAACCTCGCGGTGGCGTGTTGAAGAACTTGCTGTCTGGAATGTGACATCGACTTGTCATAGACGTCCATCATCGCCAAACGTCCATGGATGGCACTGCCTTTCCAAATAATACCCCAGAACACGCCTAGCTAGGCGCCGACAGTGCTAGCCGATAAGATATCGGAAAACCCGTATTGTTGCAGAGATCCAAAGGTGGTCTTTGCTTTGAATGATCACCTCGCGGGAAGACAGGGCGCGGCACACGATGGTCCGACAGGATTTGCAAGCCCGCTGCCCCCGCCGAGCATATATTAATTCGCCCTCAATCTCTTCTGCGCGGGACAGGGGTTGCCAACACCCGGGCCAGTCTCCCTCCATGTCATGCATGCCGACCAACCGGCAGGCAGACATGTGAGGAAGAAAAGAAAGAAGGAGTTTCGGCCTGGAGTTGGGGCTACTGCAACATGCCGCAGAATTGTTCTCTCAGGTCCTTCCTCTTCTCTTGACAATTTCGGATGAATGTTCGCTCAGTAAGCCCTCCCTTTGGTGACTGGTCGTGGCGAGTTTTCGTTTCCGTAATGTGGGCGGCCAACGAACATCACACACAACTCAGCAATGTCGTCGTGACAGGCTTAAGCTTTCGTCTCAAGAGAATAAGGGAAAAAAGGGATGACGGGTTATTTACGAACCTAAACACGTCGGGGGCAAAACGAAACAGCCGGATCGTGGGCATAACATGGAGAATCCCTCTCTCTTTATCAACAGCGTCTCCGCCACTACCAACCCCTTGGTACATGTCTGAATCGCTAGTGAAATACTTTCCATAGTCCTTGAGGCTTATGCTCATCTCTGTACTAGGAGTGACTGTGCCTTGATCACAAGGTGACCTCTCTGTTTTTTCCCAGAGCCAACTGAACAAGGAGAATTGTGCGAGAAAAGGATTTCGGGGACTTTGTGTAAGACCGGCTTCAACCTTGCTGTCTCTTGACCAGCCGAATCTGGCAACTGGCTGGGATACCGCGGACAGCTTAGGGGGGCCTATAATCCTTGAGATGAAGAATCCTGCGTATGCAAATCTCCCATACGAAATAGATGCACGCCCGAGCTAGTGTTGGTTGTTGGTTGTGTTGTTATGTGCCCATTGTGGACCTAAAGGCGAATAGCAAAACGGACCAAGTGGAACCTTTCGTGGAGTAAGAAGAGGGAAACGAAGCAATGAAAAAGACGAGAAGCTCGGGAGTGTTGCAGAAGTTTCGTTGGAATGTAACAACTTGACTCGCTAAATAGACGTTGCCTTACCTAAAGTTTTACTCTCAGCTCAAGCGGTTCATCCAATTCCAGAGTCTTGAAAAGCCAACACAACAAGACATGAACTGACATGCCTTTACTTGGCCGCCTGAGTATTCCCATGTGACGAGTACTCATTCCGAGCGGATTTCCCAAGCTAGACTCTCGCTCCGCCGACCGTTGACGCGCACTGCCATGCTGTAAGTCGGCGAACCAACCGACCGGCCGGCCACCTTGCGCCGGGTCGCAGCAACTTGCAAGACCAAGGGCCGAGTTGGCAACTGTACATGCAAGGACCGGGGCCATGATCCCTGGGGGTGGGAAGGGTTGCGGGGGCCACCATCTCGGCCAAGGTTGCCAAGATCCAGGCTCCGATGTGCAACGTCCAGCCACTCAACGGACGCGCAGTCCGCACCGGACCCTTGCCGGTGCCGACTCCAAGTGGAGATGAAGCTGCAGGTCTGTTGGACCGGTCAGGTCCTCTTCTCTTGTGACTACGGAGTACTGCGTGTGAGTGACTTTCTCGTGTTGTCCTAACTCCAAAGTCCATGAGACTCTTTGGCAACGGCTCCGAACATGGCAACCTCGCCTCCAGGATTGCCCCTAACCCATCATCTCCCACGAGGAGGTCAGCATTGTTCATCTCCCTCGGACGGAGTCTCGTCTCTTGAGGGATTCCCTTCATGCCTGTTATCAACGAGCACATTTGACCAAATCTGGGACCCCAGACAAAGGATGCCTGCGACGCATCCGCCGCTATCAGTTGTTTTTGGGGTGCTCTCGGCCGTCAATATTGGACTGTTCCTCGTCCTTGACCTTTTGCCCCCTTCGCGCCCCCTCATCTGGCTTCCTTAGAAAGGCATGGGTTATACAGGTAGTGTAGAAGAGCCCTTGCAAACATTGCATCCCGGCCGTGGACCGTGGATGCTTTGACCTACGTCAATCCGCAATAAGGTAATGCCTCCCAGACGTACAGCAAGACTATTGCCATCGAGCCCACTCCTGCCCGCTATTATACCTCGTCGTCCATCGTTCGATCCCCTTCTAGGTGGCATAGCAAGGCCATTTCCATGTTGGTTCTCGTCGTTTGCAAACGTGTATCCCACCGCTTCGGCCTCTCTGCCGCCCCTTCCAGTCGTCTAGTATCAGTCCAACGTTCCATTTGCTCATCTCGGTCTCCACGCGTTCACCCCGCTGTCGCCGTTGGGAGAACCGCGAATTAGATCTGCGAGGTCTTATATTTGAAGCACTTCGTCCCATCTCTATTGATTGATCCTTCCTGCTCCCCATCCGTCCATCAGCAGTACTCGCGTCTGAATCCACGTGGCAACCATGTCTTCGATGCGTTCCCTCTTGACGGCGGCTCTCCTGTCTGCTGGCCACTTGGCTGCGGCCCAGACGATCGTCGTCGACGGCCAAGAAGTTGGTAAGTACTACACTACCCGCTTGAATCATCAAGGACTGAAGTGACTGACTTATAACCCCTTAGCCGCCGACGCCTCGACCGTTGCCCCGGCCGCCGAGGTTGCTGACGTCTCCATCGCCAGCACCTCCGCCGGTCTCTCTGACGGGGAAAAGCTTCAGCTCACCGATGCCGTCCTCTCGAACCTCACAGCGCTTCAGCTGTCCAACATCTCCCTGTTTGGCTTCGAGGACGGATCCTCGGTCGAGAAGAGATCGCTCTTTGGTCGATGCAAGACGTACCCCGGAGACATCCTGTACCCGATCGGTCTCGTCTGGAACATCTTCGATCTCCTCCTGGGCGGCGCTCTCACCAAGACCATCCCTGAGGCCTCTGTGTGTTACGACGACTTTGGCAACTATGACCAGGCCAAGTGCGACTTCTTGACCGCCAACTGGGTCAACGGGTCGTACTACCACACTGAGGACCCCACGGCCATCAATGCCGTCCTCTTTGAGGGCCTGAACTGCATGCCCCCAACTATCAACGTCGGCGAGACCAACTGCAAGGTTGGTGGTCTGCCTTCCTACGTTGTTGAGGCCACCACCGTCGCCCACGTCCAGCTGGCCGTCAACTTTGCCCGTAACCTTAACCTCCGCCTCGTCGTCAAGAACACTGGCCACGACTTTGGCGCGAAGTCCACCGGATACGGTGCTCTATCCATCTGGACACATAAGTTCAAGAACATTGACTTCTACGAGAACTACCAGCAGGACTCTTACAGCGGCCCTGCTTTCAAGCTCGGCGCCGGCGTCCAGGCGTATGAGATCTATGAGGCTGCCAACAAGTACGGTGTCACCGCCGTCGGAGGAGAAGGCCAGACCGTGGGTGTCATGGGTGGTTACGTCCAGGGCGGCGGACACAGCCCCATGTCCGGTCTGTACGGCATGGCCGCGGACAACGTCCTCTCCTTCGAAGTCGTTACTGCCGACGGCCGCTTCGTGACAGCCAGCGAGTCCCAAAACCCCGATCTCTTCTGGGCCATCCGCGGTGGTGGCGGCTCGACGTACGGCGTCGTCACCTCTGCTGTCGTCAAGGCGCAGCCCAAGATGAACATCACCACTATGACCTTTGCCTTCTCCAGCGGTGACAACCTCACCACCGACCAGTTCTGGACCGCGCTGCGCTTCTACTTTGACGGCTTCGTCGAGTATGCTGTCGACAACGCCAACTATGGATACTTCCGCATCCAGAACCTCGGCACCTCCTTCGCCTTCGACATGGGCCCTTGGTGGGCTCCCAACATGACAAAGGTCGAGCTCAGCGAGCTCGCGGCTCCCCTCTTTGCCAAATGGGCCGAGATGGGCCTCGTCGTCGAGCCCGTCTACACCGAGTACGACAACTTTTACTCCGCCTGGCAAAATTCGTTCCCGTTGGAGCCCTGGGGATCCAACGCCATCCGCCAAGCCAGCCGTCTTTTCCCCAGAGCCAACTGGGAAGACGAGACTAAGCTCAACGCAACCTTTGAGGCCATCAAGTCCGTCTCCGAGGAGGGCGGCTATATCGTGGCCTTCAACATGATGGCGGCGCCCAAGACGGGATACCCCGACAACGCCGTCAACCCGGCGTGGCGCGAGGCCGTTATGCACTGCATCACCGCCGCCCTCTGGGACCCGACCGCCAACGAGACCGTCATCAAGACGGCCAGCGACAAGCTCACCTTTGACTGGATGCAGCGCTGGCGCGACGTATCCCCCGGCGCGGGCGCGTACATGTCTGAGTCGGACTACATCGAGCCCGACTTCACCCAGGCCTTCTGGGGAACAAAGTACGAAAAGGCACTGGAGCTCAAGAAGAAGTATGACCCCAATGACGTCTTCTACGCGCAGAATGGTGTTGGGTCCGAGAGCTGGGAGATGTCGGAGATGATCATGGGCAACTTGCCTTCGCAGAACAGCAAGTTGTGCCGCAAGCAGTAGTCGGTGTTTGTTTTGCTGCGTTGAGTAATTGAGCCGCCAGGGTTACCTTAGGCGTTGTTGAGACTTCTTTGTAAATATTACTGCTGTATATAAGAGTGGCTGGCATGACCTGCTGCCTAGACCTTAGAACGAAGATTGTGAGATGATCTCACAAGGCATTAGAATAGCGAGTACTGCGTCCTAGTACATCTTCTTGAACCTGACTTTTGATCTCGTTTCATAAGCGAACTGAGTTTTGACGAGAGTGACGATGACTTAGCTCCTCGCATTTCTTGACGCAAAGCAGACAGAGCGTATCATAATTTTGAAGTCTTGTCCGGGCTGGTCTGGGCTGCTTTGATAAAAGACGTCACCTCATTTAGTGCCAATGATCTTGCCGGTCATAGGAGGCTTTCAGGAAATCCTAACCTTAGTGTTCTCCTTGGTCGGGATGTTCTTGGGAGAAAAGTAAAAAGCCAAACCAATGACAGTATACATATCAAGTGCCATAACCCCCTTCAGATAATTAGACCTGCCGCTCTTCGTCAAGGAAAGAATGACAACTAGTGTACAAAAATTATAGACAGAGACCTGGAAAAATCCATAAGTCAAGTCCATAGGCCTAGCGACAATCCACCCGAGAGAGAGACGAGAGAGGAGGTCACAAGGAAAGCAATCTGAATGCTAGAGCCTGTTGTGATTCAAATGGCGAGGTCCATCTTGTTCCTGGTGGCCATGAGAACAGCAGTAACATGCCCTGTCGCGTTAATCACGACCGGGATAAGAATAAAAGTGCTAAAGCTCTCGGTAATGTGTGTTACGTGGCAAATGCTGTCCAGCAGATGATTGGCGCAAATAGCGATGCAATATGCAGCAACAACTAGTAATGTGAGAGCAGGAAGGAGGCTTATGATTGGATCTTCGGCCTCTTCTTCGTAGTTCGAAACGTCAATACTAAAGATTTTGGTGTGAGTATGTAGAGTAGCAAAAGGATTATAGAAATGCTGCGAGAGGGGAGAGTGATGGCTTGATTGACTTCCAGGTTGGCGGCGTCATTTCCCCGAATTTGTAACACAGAGGAGAGCTAAATCAAAAGACTAGTTAAGACACGAAGTTCATAAAGGGGGATACTTACTGTAGAAGGAAGAATAAAGGATGCCAAAGAAATTACCATTAATGAACGTGTTGTTCGTGCTGTGATGGGAGAAAAGCTTTGTTGTATGCCCTCGGCGTCCAACACATCGCGCATGTTGACTATGTTTCCAACAAAGCATATGCCCATGAAGAGCAGTAAACTCGAGAGAATTGATCCTAGCATAGTTGACTGAACAATTCCAACTTGGCCATTTCTCAAGGCAACGATACCAATGATGAATCCAGCAATATTGCCCAAAACAGCATAAAGCAGGCCTCCAAGAGCGTCGGGCAAGTTCAATGACACTTTCTTGGTTACGAACTCCAGTATAACCGTAAGAAGAGACACAGCGGTTAGATTGAAAGCAAAAACTTCGTTTGGATTCCAAGGATATCTTCCAGCAATGACACCTAGGATACCGTAGCCAGGAGAAAGGTGATGTAGCCTATAATGCAGATAGCTAACAGTTCTAGAAGATGAAATGATGCAACGACGAAATGAAAGAGATTCAAAATGCTTGCATTTCAAAGTTAGTTTTCTCGTGAGGCTCCAAACTCGTGATGGATGGCTCAAAGTGGCATTGCCGGTATTGGTGTTTGGGTAGTATGTCAAGTAAAAGAGAGACCCGAGGCTCCCCTGATCACCATAGCCTTCAGCCAAGCAGACATCGCGGGTAGTCAAGTGATTATCGTGATTTAGAAGCAGTGATTCCTCGTCGATAGTGCCTACACATCCATTGCGTTGATTGGTGATGCCACCAAGACGAACGTTGTCGAGAGAACGCCGGGTTGACATACTGCGATGTTGATCGTCTGGACCATCAGGCAGCATAACCAGAATATGTCCTCGTTGCTGGTTCAAGTTTCTTTTCTTTTGATTTATAAGGTTGGATTGAAAAAGTCGTTCTATTATCGACGGAACGAGCGAGGTAAGGGAAAGTAGATAGGAGGGAGGCATCACAGGGGATGAGGCGACTGAAAGACAAAGTATGCGGGGCAAGGCGGATCAGGCTCCTACCAAGTGGTACTGTATTACGGTCGGTTTAATGATGTTTAAGGGGGTAAGTACCAAGTAGTCACCTATTTGCCATTGTAGCACAGCCATCTTCAAACAAGGCTGATAATGGACACGTAAAGGTCTCGCATCTCAGGCCCTTTTCAGTTGGCCAACTCGCTTATGTATAGCTGATCACCTTAAGGTGCACCGGTATTGCTATACTGACACTGTTCCTTCCACACTCTATTATATTCTGCCAACCTCGAGAAAGACATTCGTAAAATATCATCTGAAATTTGAAGCCCAGAGGTCATCACAAGGGCTGCACTTCTAAGCGTGTGTCTCGTCAATATTGACACCTTGACTTTGGAAGAGGTGTCGGAGCCTTTCTCAATCAAGTACGCCATTCTGTCGCATACCTGGGAGGACGATGAGGTGACCTTCCAGGATTTCAAGACATCGAACAAACTGGGGCGAGACATAAGTCCGGGTTCTCCAAGATTGAGAAGACATGTGAGCTTGCGCGCTAACGAGGTTTCTAATATGCGTGGGTGGACACTTGCTGTATCGACAAATCGAGCAGTGCAGAACTAAGCAAAGCTATCAACTCAATGTTCTCATGGTACAGGGAGTCCACCGTCTGCTTTGTTTTTCTGTCAGACTTACCGGCGTCCGAGAGATTGATCGAGCAAGTGGACTTGACGTATTTCTTTCCCTACACTCAAAAGACATTTGCTGCCTGTCGATGGTTCACTCGGGGCTAAAGTTTACAAGAGCTCATTGCTCCGAGCGAAGTGGAGTTCTTCGATTCACAATGGGGGTGATTCCCTCGAAAAGTCGATTGCCTCGTTAAGCTGGAAGAAATTATCGGCATACATCGCTCAGTTTTGGAGCTCTCCTCAAATATACGGCAGACTCCGATAACTGTCAAGATATCCTGGGCAGCATCTCAGAAGACGAAACGTGTCGAGGACCGCGCTCACTCTCTTCTCGGCATTTTCAACTCAATATGTCAATATACGGTGAAGGATCCAAGGCTTTCCGTCGCCTTCAAGGAGGAAATATCCTGGGAGACGAATGACCTGCCTCTGTTCGCGTGGAGGGGGCCTACCCAAGAGGACGCGGGATATCAGAGGTTCAGGGGCATCTTCGCGAGGCCTCCAAGCGAATTCAGCTCCTGTTCAGAATTGCAAGGATCTGGCACCAAACAGTACTCACAAAGCAGGTTTACTCTCACCAACAAAGGTGTCCGGTTTGAGAAGAAGTCATACAGGCATGCCTAGGGCGCGTATGTCATGTATCTGGGGGTAGACATGCGACAAAACACACCAGTCTGCATCGTTCTCACACGCACAGCAGAAGGTCTTATTTGCAGCGAACCTTGGTTGTTGACGTACGAGCAGTCATGGAACCTGTCCAGGATTCACAATACTTTCACAATCCACGTCCAAAATGATGTGAGCCTACAAGAAGATGCCATCTTTTGGAGACAGAAACGTAGGTCATTCCATATCGACTTGAATCTTCAAACATCCCTCAAGCTTGAACAGCTTGAGTTGCATCCGCAATATCTGTGGGACGAGTTCCATTTGGCTTTCATCGCCAGCAACCCTGACAAATCTTATCCTGCCAGGCTGAAGTTTCTAATCCGCGATAGCGACAGTAACTTCAGTGAGAGCTTTCCTCTAACCCTGACGTTAGGATGGGCCAGTTCGCATCAACAGCCCTTTGCTTTACTTTACGGGTCTGAAGAGTTGGTAGACACTACTAGGCTGGCGATCAGGAACGTCCCCCCGGACAACTTCCCAGACCTTGTTAAGGACGATATCGACTGGATTAGTTCGAACAAAAAGAGCTTCGAAAAGGCACTCTCAAGAATCAATACGAACCCTGAATTCCAAGCTACGGAGGTACAGTTTGTCACTCGGAAGATAATGGTTCTGTACTGTGGCTTGCACAAGGTTTCAGCTTTCGTCGCTACATTCAGGGTCGAATTAGAGACGCGGCAGAATCACAACAACAGAATCACCTACCATGCTTCTCTTTCTGGTAAGATCTCGAGAATGGAGGGCCGCATTGCCATGTTGGCTTTGAAATCAACATAAGCAAATTCAAGTTGATGGTCGAGATTTGTGTGTTTATCGCTCGGTATCCTGTAAAACTAATCTTACCTAAGGTTGATATGTCATGTGCTGAGGGCGAAGCATAAGGTGACTAGCTATCTTCATAGTAATCAAGAAGGACACCATCTCCGGTGTTAGGGAGATCAAGTTACACATTCTGATGAAAACACATCGCTGTCTGTCTCATTCAAATCTTTTGTTCTGTAACTTGTTGCTCTGATTAGTGGAATTTGTGCCATTTAATCATCAAACATAAACCTTGAAATGATAGGTGACTGCGGAGTTCAAAAGAGCCATCGGCAACGACAATATTGTATCAGTAGCGCGCAAGTGCCTGTCTTATGATTCTACTCCTGCTGCCGCTCGTTTCTCCCCCGAAACTGGAATTGCCCAGAAATACAATTCCTCAGCTGCCAGCGAAGGAAGATGGTTGTGATGAAAGCCAGCGAGAGGCTAATGGGAGGAAGCAAGGTGGAGGTACGTACCGACCACAAGACCCGCTTTTCATTTACACGCTAGTCCAAAACGGAGCAGGCGCATAACCTGCCTTGCGAATTTCAAGGTGACATCTTTCGAATTTCCATCTAAACACAGCTTCACGAAGGCAGCCGATCATCATGGCCTCGATCGCGGCATCACTGGCCTCGGCCCTCCCGAAACCCAAGTACACTGGCGAAGATGAGGAAGCTCCCTCACGCGCCCTGCAACGCGGCCCGCGTATCGTCGGCGCCGGCCAGCTGGACGAGACGCAAATCGTGCTGAAGCGATCGGGCCCTCCACCATACCAACAGCGAGCAGGATGGCGACCGCGAGGACCCGAAGACTTTGGCGACGGCGGCGCGTTCCCCGAAATACCGATCGCTCAATACCCGCTCGACATGGGGAAGAAGGGCGCGACGACCAGCAACGCGCTCGCCATCCAGGTCGACGGCGAGGGCAAGCTCGACTACGGGGCCATTGCGCGTCAAGGCCACGCCGAAAACCGAATCGTCCATACTTCCTTCAAGGATCTGATTCCTCTCCGTCAGCGCGCCGATGCTGGAGAAATCGATCTGAGCCGGCCGAGTCAAGAGGAGGTGGAAGCGACGGCGGAAAAGACGAAGAATGCGCTGGTAGCGCTGGTTAGCGGTGCCGTGGCCGCCCAGAAGCCAAAGACTCTCAGTGTTGGAAAGCGAAATGACCCGACATTTGTGCGATACACACCAGCGAACCAGATGGGTGACAACTCGACCAAGCAGGACCGTATCATGAAGATTGTAGAGCGGCAAAGGGACCCGATGGAACCCCCCAAGTTCAAGCACAAGAAGATCCCTCGCGGACCGCCAAGCCCGCCACCCCCCGTCTTGAGATCGCCGCCACGAAAGCTGACGGCTAAGGATCAGGAGGACTGGCGCATCCCTCCGCCGGTCTCCAACTGGAAGAACCCCAAGGGTTTCACGGTCCCCTTGGACAAGAGATTAGCGGCCGATGGACGCGGACTCCAGGACGTGGCGATCAACGACAAGTTTGCTCAATTCTCTGAAGCGCTGTATGTTGCAGACAGACACGCCCGCGAGGAGGTCAGACAGCGTGCAGCCATGCAGCAGCGTCTGGCAGAGAAGGAGAAGGCGCAAAAGGAAGAGAACCTCAGAATGCTGGCCCAGAAGGCTCGTGAAGAAAGGGCCGGCGGCGGCAGACGGGACTCACGATCACGGTCACGGTCACGCAGCTACAGCGACTCAGACTCGGAAGGTTCGGACGGCTCGGAGGACTCCGAGATCCGGGAGAGAGAAAAGGCACGAAAGGAGCGTATGCGCGAGGAGGAGAGGAAACTCCGACAGTCACGCATGGGTGCCGAGAGGAGAGTCCAGGTCATGGCAAGAGAACAAAATCGCGACATTTCGGAAAAGATTGCTCTGGGTCTCGCCAAACCTACCCAGTCCAAGGAAACCATGTATGACTCGAGACTTTTCAACCAGTCCAGCGGCTTCGACAGCGGCTTCAACGAGGACAACCACTACGACAAGCCGCTCTTCGCAGCGCAGGAGGCCATTGGCAGCATTTACAACCCGCGAGCCAACATGGACGACGAGGACGACGAAGCGGCAGGTGATAAGGAGATGGCCAAGATTCAAAAGACCAGCCGGTTCGGCGAGGCTTTAGGTAGGGGGACGTTCAAGGGCACAGAAGATGTCGAGGTAAGTAACCCGTTTCAAACGAGAGCAAAGGGCAGTGCTAACAAACATTTCACACAGGCGAGAGAGGGACCGGTGCAGTTTGAAAAGGATGCCGGGGACCCCTTCAACGTGGACAAGTTCCTGTCCGAGGTGGAGCAAAACTCTTCATCCAAGAGGGGGTACGGCCTTCAGGATAACGATTCCCGGCAGCCGAAGCGGGCACGAGTGGAAGAGGATGATGATTAAACAAGGCTGGATTATTTTTTTCCATGTAGCCGAAGAAAAGCTTTGGGTTACCAAGTTGTACGACAGGGCGGGTGGAACTTGTTTTGACTGGCATCGAGATGGGCGGCCTTAATCGGGGCATCGTGGACAGCCTCATAAACTGCAAAATTGCAGTGCATAATGCAATTAAAAGCAGAAATTCGATTTGGGCCTACATGTAGAGACGTGGTGAAGAAACATTGGATGATTGCGTAGACTTTCATGACCCTTTCTTGTGTTTTAGGGCGAAAATTCTGTTGAGATTGGCTCGAAGCCGACTGGGTGAGTTGGCCTAGCGACGACGCTGGTTGTTTCAAAGACGGCGAATTCATGCGGACTTTTATCATCGGACTGGTTGCAAACCTCATGCTCTCTTCCAAGACAAGGCCGAGAACCGGACGAGACGGATGGGGATATTGGCATCTGGAGCGAACGACTGGATGGCTGCTGGGTTTGACAGGCAAACAGGCCTCTTGATTCGGTAAAACTTGTCAGAGTAGGGTGTCGGCGGGAGTGACAGTCGTGGCCGGCGAGGGGCACGTCGTGGGGTGTCATTGGTGGTTTTGCATGGTGGTCCGGGTGTTGAACCAAGATTCAAGACATCAGGCGAGCCAGGGAAGGGAAGAAAAGTTGAGACGAAGATCAGGCAGTGTTGTGGGAAACGTGGGTGGTGGCTGGAGCATTGGACGTTCCGGGCCTATAATTAAAGTCCGTATTGTGTTTGGTAGGTATCTTGGTATAGTAGGTAGCTTTGGTTGACAGGTTTTGGTGTTGAAACAGTTGCTTTCTTACTCTCGTGGCTTTTTAAGCTCCGAGTCGGAGACTTTTGCCAATGCCTTGGCTGTGAGCCAAGCGGCTTTCAGGAATGTTACTGTTCATACTTTTCTTCAAGGGGTAAGAGTTTACTATCTAAGAGGGTTGCGAGGGCAGCAGCGGAGAGTAGCAAAAGGTGGGTTACCGTGAAGTATGAAGTGAGGAGAGTTGGTGTTTTATTTGGGGCATCGTGAGACGACGCAAAGAGAAGAGAGTAATAACAGAGGAGGGAAGGAGAATGAGTAAGAGCTGTTGTAAGCTTAAATCTGTCCAACCACCAGCGGAACGTTTTCCAGAGTTTGACCTCACATATACATATTAGGCTTCATGTTCGCATCACGCAGGTCAGGCTTTCCGGGCTGTTTGCAACCCATTTCTAATGTTCACTCAAACCCCTCCAACCTCCCGATGGACAGGTCGCAGATGTCAAATTGTTGACCAGCTCTCCCGATCTTGTTCCACGAGTTGGCCTGGGTGGCGTTGCAGGAGGTCGGAGCGGCAAGCCGAACGTGATCCGAATTCGAATTGGCGGATACCCAGGTGCAGATCAATCACGAAATGGTTCGCCGCACATCAGCAGTCGATCCTTCAATGCGGCTCCTAGTCATGTCAGGTACGCGGACTGGCTGTGAGACATTGAATACATGACAGCTGTTCCGTCTATTCTTGCTCATTTACTCATTTCTTTCATTCCCAGTCCCGATTCTAGATCTATCTTTTGATAATCGCTCTCAATCAATTTGTATGAGAAACCCTACTTAGATCAAGGTGTCGGCTTGAGACGAGGGCTGATGATCTACCTTTCTTCCCATCACCTGTAAACTAGGGTCTTGCGAAAGTAATTCCATGATTCCAAGAAGGGTAAATGACATCGGATCGAGTGATCGGAGAGGAAATAGCAAACAGACAGACCATACACTTGACATAGTTCCTCGGGCGTTTTGACTGAGAAAAGGCAATGCATACGACTAGCCGTGCGGGTTCCATACCATTGACTTCAGAGTTCAGGGCTTCACGGGTGGTCCAACTTGGCTCCTGTCGCCAAGTCCTTTAGTGCGGGTGGTGCTTGCAATGAATGCTTGGGGGTTCGGCCTTCAAGCCGTGCCCTGCCTACCCCTGATGCGAGAAGCCAAGTTTGTCTCCTCCCAACTTCAACTTGCTTGTCTTTCGTGTCTTCCTAGATCCAATCCAATGCATGTCACATCGGACAGCGTCGACGTGCATCCGCTATGAGGCGCTATGAAGCGTCGATCCTGCCGGTTGCTTCATCCGACAACGACTTCAACCCCGTCTCTCTTTCTCACCATCTCGTGCGGCGACGGCGACGACAGTAACCAAGACTTGGGATACATCATGTCATGCCTCTTTGACACCGATGTCTGCCATCATCTCCCACGCAGCAAAGACGAGAATGAGATGCTGTCTGGGAGCCGAGGCAGGTCACTGACATTGGCACTCATACTTGGGAACGCACTCGCATTCGTTCGCTCTTCGTCTCGAGACTGCAACCAAACCTGACATCCGGTCCTCCTTTCGGGCTGAGGGGCAAGCCCTGCCTCGAACTTTGACGCTGGGCAATGCCCAATCTAAGTATCTCTGTCGTGAGTCGTCTGTCCATCACAATTCCACGCTGGCCGAGGAACCCCGGCACTGCCTCCCACCCTGAGCCACGAGCCAGAGCTATCCATCCCATCTATGTTTCTTGTCTTCTTCTTCGAACCCTGCAACGGCAACGCTGTAGGCGCCCACTTTGGATGTTCCGTCGCTGGCCCCCCTCACCTCGAATACCCCTTCCTTCATGCCCCGAGGGTTGTCTCTGCCTCTAAAGCATGAATAAGAAGCTTCTTCCCAGACACGACACCCCAGACGCACAGGCGAGCTTGCAGAGACAGCATGACTTTTGACAGGACTTGACTTTCCTCGCAATGCACCTCGGGTCTGACTCCAGGGCCGGCCCACAACTACACCCCAGCCTCACCCACCCCGGTGCCCCCATCTTCGCTCCCAAAGACCCGGCCTGTCAAGGTCGGCAGTCAGATGTCCCTGCTTCCTCGCAGAAGCCCCATGAGGCGCCTGTCTGATGGTTCCGCCCTCCTCTACTTCTCTTGGCAGCCTTCTCGGTACCATCATCCAGTTTACATCCGAGCCCGTGCTTGGCGCCGGCGCGCGGAGGTGCCAGTCGTTCTCACGTTTCCTTATGCTTGACACCCACCCCCTTGGCTTCTGTGATCTCCAGGGGATCATCCATACCTCGGACGCACAGCTGAAGCTCAATTGCAAAGTTGGCAGTTGCTTGCTTGTTGGGCACCGTGTATCATGTCTCGCCCCCCGCGTCGTCGTGGCCTCTTGAGGGAAAGGAAAAAAAAAAGGTTGTCTGTCCGTGAGGAACCACGATCGATGCTTATTTCTCCAGGTTTCCCACCTCTAGCTGCATCATGTAAGACCTCCCTTCTCTCATCTCTTCTCCGTCGCATATTCAGCGCCTCTTGGCGTTTACGATTACCTTCTGTTTTAATATCTTATTATAATTTCACTTCAAGCCTCTGAGAGGACTGCGTCGCTTTATTTACACCATCATCATTACGACAGAACAAGGGAAAGAAAAGAGCAAGGCCTCTCTCATCACCACTTGAGTCATCTACCTGCTTCGGGCATACCTACCACGCCATAGTAAGCCCGGAAACCTGGCACACCAGCAATAATACGAACATTTCACGCCCGACACTCGCATTTCTTTTCAGATCCCTGATGCGAGAAAGAGACGGCCATCGACGCACCCTGCAGACAAAAAAAAAAGCCGGGCTGCCTCTCAGTGTCTCCCTTTGCCCTTCTCATCCGCTAGTCGCCATTGGACCGGGTTTTGTGGTCCACCAGCGTACGCGTACATACTACGTATGATAGGCGTAGTCGTCACTCTCTGAAAAATCGGGGGTGGAACTACGTGAAGCGTATCAGCTTGAAGAAAAGATGGTTCCAAATCTGGGGCCAAACACATCACTCGGGTACACTCCGTTTGAGTACTGGAAGGGTCCGAAACCCGTCCTTCCCAGACCAAAGCGCAAATCTAGAGCCGTCGCCCTCGACCTAGAGCCGTTGCTTCCCACCCCCACCCCGGCCCCGAAGCCTAGAGCGGCCGCGAGATGGCCTGGTCAACATCCGCCTGCAGGCGTCTTCGTGGCGCAGCCAGGCACATATATCGTGTCGCCCAATATCAATCGTAGCAAGACGCCTTTTGCGGAGATACTCGTCGTTCCACCAAAGGTCCTGGTCCACCCACTTTTCCGGGACGAGATAAAGACCCCAGACTGGCCCCGAGGCTTCTCTCCGTACCCGAGTTCCATGAACGACTCTGACTACTACGGCGGCATCATGGGCGACTACGGATTCTCAAACGAGCGCCTCGGGCAACAACAAACTGCGTGGTGGAATCCCAAGGGATGGACGAAGCGGATCTGGGCCGGCGTCGGCGGTGCCCTCGTCGTTATCATTGTCATTGTCGTTGCCGTCACTGTCACACAAAACAACAAGAACCGATATCCCGACTACTCCCAGCTGACGTACAAGCTGAGTGACACATGTACGGAACCGTGCTCAGGGTCGTCGCCCGTTGCACGAGCCCCCGGCTGAAAACATGATCATGAACATTCGATCTGATGATAACAGACTCTGGAGAGGACTTCTTCGACGGCTTCAACTACTTTAACACCTACGATCCCACTGGGGGTATGGTTCACTACGTCGGTGCCGACGAGGCCGCGAGCAGGGTATTTACCACCTCCACCCACTACTACCTACATGGAACCAACGGCTGAGTATGCAATCTTTTCGTGAAATAAAGAACCTCACATACGCCACATCGTCCACCGCCGTACTGAGGGTAGACCACACCACCGGCAACACCTCCTCCCCCGACGCCTCGACGGGCCGCTTCTCCGTCCGCGTCGAGTCCAAGAACCAGTACGACAAGGGCCTCTTCATCTTCGACGTGAAGCACACCCCCTACGGCTGCGCAAGCTGGCCGGCCCTCTGGTTCTCGGACCCCAACAACTGGCCCGACGCCGGCGAGATCGACGTCATGGAGGCCATCAACCAGGGCACCGACGGCAACCAGATGACGCTGCACACGACGTCGGGCTGCGAGATGAGCGTCAAGCGCAAGCAGACGGGCTCGACGCTCCAGTCGGACTGCAAGAACACGACAAACGGCAACGCGGGCTGCGGCGTCGAGGGTAAAGCCTCGACGTACGGGTCCGATTTCAACGACGGCGGCGGCGGGTACATGGCCATGGAGTGGCGCGACGAAGGGATCCGCGTGTGGCAGTTTGCGCGGGATTCCGTGCCCTCCGACATCACGGCCGCATCGTCGCCCGACCCCAGCACCTGGGGCGAGGCGCTCGCCGACTTCCCCAACACGGCGTGCGATATGGGCTCCCACTTTTCGAACCAGTCGCTCATCATCAACATTGATGTGTGCGGCTCGCTCGTCGAGGCAAAGTATGCTGATTCGGGGTGCGGCGGGACGAGCTGTTCGGATTTCCAGGCCAACAACCCGGACGCCTTTAAGACGGCGTACTGGGAATTTGGGGCCTTTAACTTTTACACCGCGTCGTGAGTGCGGCGCTGGTGCTGATGGTTTAGGGAGAAGACAGTTGAGTGGGAATAGAAATCAGGGAAAAGAGGGCAAGGACGAAAAGACTTACACGAGATGAGATGAATTAAGGTCGCCACCAAGGCAGGAACCCCGGGTGGCCGAGGATCGTGATGGGATCCGATTCTACGACTATTTGACTTTTTCTTTTCTTTGGTGAGAGCTAGCGAGCCTTTTCTAGTACAAGGTGTTTAGATTGATTCCCTTCTGGGTAGGATACCTCGGAATCATTAGAATACCAGACAAAATGGGAGGATGAACTTAGATTGAATGAAGCAGAAATGCGCACAGAGTGCAATCCATCAAGTTGAATTAGCCAAACATGTTTGGAGTCCAGTATATTACAAGTCTATTCTTACTCCCAACGCGTAGTCTACTCGACAAGAGATCTGAGCAGAGGCGTCCCGCTGGCGCGAGCGTGTGTACAATACAACAACACCGCCACCCTTGAGAAAAACCAAAGTGGAGAGAGTTTCTGGCATCTATATCGTCGTCCCCTCATCCTCCTTCCTCTAAACCGGCTCCTCCGCCCAAAAAAAAAAGCCCAGTAGCGTTTGACCGCGACCCGTTCCCGTAACGCCGTGCAATGCAAAAGATACATCTTCCATCCGCCTTTTTGTTGGTACATGTACAGATAGAGACGCGAAGTGATTCCCACAGAGGTCAAATCAGGCCCATCGTCCAGGACGGAGAGTAGAAGAGGCTCATGGCCTCACCCAACCCAACAGAGCAGAGACGACTGCCTCCTCATCGTATCCTCTCACGTCCCGCCTTCCCTCCTCTTCCTTGTCTCCCTCAAAACACAACAACCCCCTACTCATCGCTCGGCTGCCTCATATACGCATCAATAGCAGCACTAAACGCCGCAAACGCAACACACCCGCCCAACGCAGCCTGCGGCCCAGCATTCTTGGCCAAGATCCCACCCGTCAGACACCCCGCCGCAACACCGTTGCCCAAATCGTTTTTAGCTCTCAACCCTTCGATACCGCACTCGATACCTGCAAACAGCGCGCCGACTTTACCAAAGTTCTTGGCCATGCCGTACGACCGCGTGCCCATGTCCTTGAAGCCCACGCGGAGCTGCTGGCGGAAGGGCAGGTCCGCGATCGGCGTCACCGTCGTTTGGCCGGCTGTCGTTGCTGTGTGGAAGGGGGTGTCGTAGGACATCTGTGCAAGACGAAAAGGGATTAGTTGAGAATGTCCACAGGGGGAGGGGAAGGGGGCTCAAATCGTACAGATGCCATGAACATGCCAAACAATCCTCCCATACCGAAACCCATGACACCGGACATGATACTCTTCGTAAAGCAGTTCTCCATAAAGTTGGTCATCTAGCGCTATCGTTAGCATATGGTCTCCTCGAAAGAGGCACGCCTCTAACATACAGCCTTGATCTCAGGGTCCGGAGGGCCCAAAGCTGCCGCGGCGCCTGGGGATCCGCCATGCGACTCTTGAGGGGGCATCGCACCGCCGCCGGGAAAAGCCATTGTATTATGTAGAAATTAAAAAGGTAGTCGTGGTCGTGGATAGAGAGCGACTCGGTTGAGTTCCGCGGATAGAAGCGATCGCGACGCGTAGAGTTGGAAATGAATGCGCCGGAGCTGATGGATCTTGTAATATTTCTGCCAGCAAAGACCGCCCCTAGACACTCGTTCCTGAATGCGCCGATGGCAAATTTATTTTACGCCTTCCATGGCGAGGTACCTCTTATCTTATCGGCGGAGCACGTGCAGACCCCACCGTTCTTCTTCAACCGACCGACCTCCGAGCGGGCCATCCCGACTTCGGGTGGGGCCAAATGCCGGGCCTTCTCCGGGGTTGCATCTGTGCTTCACTTCGGCTGCTTTACTTACACGTCCAATCCCGCCGAGGCGCCGGGTCAATGTCACCATCGTGCTCATTCATCTTTGCCAAATTTTGCCTTATGAATGTTTTCCACCTTTCTTGAAAACTGAGCTACATGGATCCTGTTCTCTATCGGAAGAGCCCGTCAATCAGAGGCCTGCTGTGATGCTTGCTTGATATGCCATAAAAACGTCCTCGGACGCAGACAGGCCTGAACCAAGACCGAGCCTGCTTGCTGCTATGGATCCTGAACCACGGAACCTCCTGCTCATCCCTGGTATCACCCGGCGTACCGATATCGATCCTGGATGCATCGAACAAAAACTCTAAATCCTCTCGATACAACGTTCTTTCGGCATCCAAGATTGCAGAAGACTAGCCACCATGAATTACCGCAAAAACAGGTCGCCAACGCCGTTTCTAAGCGTTCTTGTCCGGTCAACGTGGTCGAGACCGAGGTAATCATCGTCATTCGTCGCAAGCTTCCACAACTCGTCGTCTACTCATCTGTCAGCATTGCAAAAGAGGATAGTTCTGGGAAACCCTTACCATCGTTAAGGTATTGGGGCTTCGAGAAATGGGATCTCTTGACCACCGCGAACTTGATCTTCTCGAAGCTCTTGCCCTTGATGCCAGTCCGCTTCTCCAGACGCTTCTTGGTATCCACAAATTGCTCACCCTGGCATCTCATTAGTATTCTGTGAAGCATCGTTTGGAATGCGGCACATACCTCGACAAGCATGAATTTGAAAGGCACGCCGTGGACCCTGCTGGGCTCATTCTGGAAATGGAACACTTGAATGAAGTTGCTCGCCTCTTCGTCGCTGATCTCTTCCTCGGGTACGCGTTCCGCGAAAACGTTGGTGTAATCGTTCATGCTAATGACGGGGTAATCACGCGAGAGTTCGCGGTAAAACTTGTGACTGCTGGTCTCGTACACGCGAATACGGCCTCCTTCAGTCTCGTCGGGGATGCTGGCCTTCTGAACCAAGACTTGAATTAGGTCCTCGATATTACCGTTCTTGGCCACGAGGAGATCAAATTGTTCCTGTACATGGTTATCATCACATTCAACTACGGCATCCTTCATTGTAACTCACCTCTTTCGTGATGCCCTCACTGAGCCAAGTGATCTTAATGCTCTTCTTGGTGTCCAGCTCGGCCAAACTCATGTCTAATACTTCAAAGTAGAAGGCATCAGTTCGCTGACTTGAACTGAGTTGATTGTATCCGGACGGGTTCAAGATGAGCTGCAGACTTTGGTTGACGCCACGCTTGACAGTTGTCTTAGGGTTGCCTGTAGCCGAGTTGACTGTCCAGAAGCGGATGTGTGTAGGGTCGACTTCGAGCCTGTCGCCGACGCGGTCTGCAAGAATGTCGTAACTGATCTTGGAATTGAGGACCAACTCAAAGGGAGGGAATCTCTCGGCATTACAGCGTGTCGGATGCGCATGGAACTTAACAGTCTTCTTGTTGTGAAGGAAGTCGTAGTACTCCCGTGCGTCGTCGAAGCGGTCGGCCTTCTTGGTAGGCTCTTCCGCTGCCTGCTTATCGCCCAGACCCAGACGCTTCTCGAGGATGTTCCTGTCGCCCTTGCGTTCTGTCGTCTTTTGGAAGCAAATGATGTCGCCATCCTGCAGTTCTGCAGCCTTAAGAGACTGCTTGGCCTTCAAGGCTTCGATCATTGTCGGCTTGATTTCCTGGGAATGGTCAATATAGTTTCAATATGCACACCGGGGATAAAGAGCTTACCTCCCAAAGCGAGATCTTCTCATCGCCTGGCAGCTTCTCGCCCCATCCCATCTTCTTCATGATGATCGGGACCAGTTCCTCAACCTTCTTCTCCTTGCTGATGTAGACATGGCCGACGCCGTAAAGAGATTGGGCCTCCACATCAAAGTGCTTGAGGAAGATCAAGATGAGATCGTTCTTCACAACAACTCCATTAAGCTGGCCTTGGTACGTGGGCCACACTGCCTCGCCTTCTGGTGTGGTCTCTTCTGCCACTTCGGCCCAGACTCTCAGGAATTGATCTCGGTGTGCAGCTGCCCTTTGGAAGCATTCCTCAACCGTAGGTCGCAGATCCATGATGGGCTGGTCAGGACGAATTGTCTTGTTCTGGCGATTAACCATAATCCAGAGACGAACCTTGCGTGGGTCTTGTTCAACGTCTGCTGCAATGGTACCTACCAGATCCTCCATCGTCGAAGCTCTCAATACACGATACGAGCGTGGCGCCGCATCGCCTTCGGCCTGGTCTGCATCAAACGATGTCAAGTCTGTGCCTCCGTGATTCTTAAAGGTCTGCTCCGTAATGACCTTGACGCCGATATAGAGGTGCTGCTCCTCCTTTTCCTTGCGCTTCGCCTCTCTGAGAGCAGTCTCTTCGTCGAACTTTGACCGCAGGTGAAGAGGGATGTCCTCCTTCGAAACCGGGCAAAGGATGTTATCCAGCCGCGACTGGCGAATGTAAACCAGCATGTATGCGCTGTTCTGGCGTACGACCGGAGCCTTTTTCTGGAGAGGTGCTCGCAAGTGGTTGGCAGGATGTGTTTTGTATTCTCCGCCAAAGTTCTCTTCAAGCACCTCACGCATCGTGGCTCTCGTGACCTTATCATCGTCGTACTTGTAGAACCATCCGTCCTTCTCAGGCTTGAGGAATGCATAGTAGTGGCCAGCGTTCAAGTCACCGCTGTGAACGAGGACGCCATGAAGCTGGTACGTCCATGACTCTGACTTGTCGGCATCCTCGGAGAGATACGGCGCTGCGTCGAACGTTTCGGGGAACTCGTATCGGTCATTGATCTTCATCATAGTGTCTCGTTGAATGTCGTATTCGAACCGCTTCAGCTGCAAGTGCAAGACGTTGGGGAAGCTTTGGAAAATGACACCCTTGTTGGCATCCTGCAGCTTGAAGTCGTCACCAGCATAGTACTGGTTCTCGCCGTCCATCTTCTCGACCTGAACGTAGTCCTTGAAACTATCCAGAAGGTTCTTGTTGCCGCTGACATTGAGCTGGATGTCCCAGAAGTCTTCGACTCGGCTGGATTCGTAGTCGACGTTGACGCATGAGATGTAAGTCTTGATCTTACCACTAAACATCTGCGGGAGCACGTGCTCGGCCGGGGTACCCTTCATTTTCTCTTCCATGCGCTCCATTAGCTTTCGCGACAACTCCTGAACATCCTGCTGTTCAAAAATGTGTCTTGTTTCCCAGCCAAAGGACTTGGTCAGCTCGTTCGTTCCGACCGCCTGCTCAGAGGTCTGCAGTTGGTAAAAGAGACGTTGCAAAGTGTACGCGCTGTTGCCCATGCTCTCTTCGTGGTCTGTGGGAATTTCGTAGATGGCCTACAGAAAGTCAGCAATGATGCAGAAAAGATGCAAAGGGTCTTATAGCTAGCTGTACCTTTCGGAAAGCGTTGGTAAAGTACAATGACTGAAGAAGAGAGTTCAGATAGCAGGTGGCGCCTTGGTTGCGTAGGCCGACGTAGCCGGTTTCCTTCTTGGAATCGTAGTTGTTAAAGTTGTGCCAAAGGACACCCGTTTCGTCTTTGACGAGGCGGAGGTAGGCTGTAATGTTGGCAGTCTCGTTCTCGCACAGTGGTCGACTACCACCCTCCCAGGGCACGTTGAACATCTTTCGCAGCTCGAGGAAGCGAGTGAAGCCCCAGTCTGACTCCTCCTTGGTGAATCGGTGGTGCGCCGTGTGGTGGGTGTAGAGAGTCGGGTCGTTCGGGTTCCATAGCACAAGCGCAAACTGCACACAGCAGCTCCAATTCTCGGGGATGTTCGTCGGCTCGAATCCGTGCTCAAGGTAAATGGAACATTGGTCCACATTGTTACCATGAGGGAAGAGAAGAATGCGCCTGGGGCAAGTGTAAGCGAAGCTATCGAAACGGAGCACCAAAGGGGATGCAGGTAGCGCACCATGGGAAGCCGCCCGCCTGGAACACAGGGCCGTGTTCCTTCTTTGACATTGACCGCCATGCTTCGACAGTCCATGTGTTGACGACGTCTTCGAGCACTTCGGGCTCTTCGTGGAGATGCGGGAAGATGACATCCTTCATAGCATCAACTACCCCGAGTTAGCCGGCGCGCAGTATACGAGAGGTTGGGTATGCCTACAGTCATTTGCCAGAGGCAGGTCCTGCAGCTGTTCGGTCCCATTGTCAAGGTTGTCAGGGTCGATGATGGCGATAGGCTCCTTCTCCGAGTCGGTGCCGCCGACGTACTCGTCGGTGTCCACCACCATCTCGTTCGGCGAGTGGATATCGTTATTGTAGCTCTGGAGTAGTAGACTTAGTCAGCCAAAGAAGCGAAATAATATTTACTACGGTCGTGGAAGGGTAGCTAGGAAGCCGTGCGGCGTGCTAGAGGTAGAAATAGATGCGGGAGCAGCAGAGAGCTTGGCTGGCCTGATGGCGGGGTATTGAATGTCGCTCGAAGTCCAAGCAGTCCAAGCTGAAGCCTGGGGCGATGAAGGAGATGGGAAGTCGTGAGGATGACGCAGCCCAGCAAAGACGAAAGGCAGAAAGGAGGTAAAATTGTGTAAGGGGTAAGTAGTTGCTTTGTCTCGTAGACTCACCATGGTCTATGTGCCGCGGGATGAAGGGAAGTGCGAGAGGAGCCGATGCCGTTGCCAGGCAGGGAAAAGCAGCAGACTGGCGATTTGCGCCAGGGCTGCTTCGATGACGGAGTGGGTGCCGCAGAGGCAGGTAGGCGACAGGGCGACAAGCGATACAACGGTAGACGGC